AATATATACATATAAAAAGTATTCCTTCCAAATGTTATTTCCTACTTGAAGCCTTGTTAGATGCCATTGAAACTTCAGTGTAATCTTTGTTTCTTAATTTCCAGCTCTCCCAGAAACAAGAGCACTGCATAAATGGAGTGATTTGGGTAATTTCTTAGGTTATGGTAAAGACTAACGCATTGCACGCTGCTGCTGCTGGACAGAACTGTAAGCAGTAGTTGAGGCCCTGAAACTTCTGGTTATTGGACTTGAATAGAGGGTTGCAGCAATTTGTTTTGTAGTTTATATCCTAGGGGTTGTTGTTGTTAATTATTGTATGTTGTGTGGCTTTAATGCATAGGGACCTTCAGGTCGCTGAAATTATTTTGCAGTTCTAGCAGGAACTCTTCTGAAACAAAAGCTGTATTCTAACACAGACTGGGCAAGCAGTGTTGGAGAAGCAGATACAATCTCTATGCAGAGTAATAAGGAAAAGATACATTAATTCCTAGTATGTGGTGCGATTTATGTGTGTGGGTGGTGAAAGCCAATGAGTTTTTGTTCTATTTTTTTAATGAGCAAATCAGCTAAACAAACTGGAAGAGGGAAGATAAAGTGAGGGGCTGCAGCAACATCTGGCAGACGGTGTGAGTCAGAGATGAAGGAAGCTGCCAGGACTTGGAGAACCAGGGGTACATCTAAGATCAGAATGAAGCAGCACTGCTGAGGCAAACAAATAGAATTCTTAATATAAGTAAATTAACACCTGAATTCTTCAGAATTGATAGCGTGTGTCATGCTTTTCAGGAACTGCTTCCTGTGGGTTTTTGCTAAAAACGTTCCTAAGGTTTTGAGCTTTGCTGCATACTAAAGAGAGAGAACATGAGTTGTAGCATTTTGTGGAAATTGGTCTTGGTAATTTTTAAATTGGTCAAGCCTGATGGGAGGTTTTTGTGGGGAGACCCAAAGACTGCTCAAGAAAGCCTTATAGTACTGGTTTAATGTGCAGTTCTCTCATTGATGTGTATTATTGTTGTTTATTGCTGTTGAGAGGTTGTATAGATGTGTTAAAAAGAGACTGTTCCATCAAAAAATCTGTTAAAATATTACATCCCTGTTTTTATTTCAATCTGAAAGCCTTACATCCACAGAGGTGCATTTGTGCTACTGTACCAGCACTGACTTCATACAGCACATTTCATGGCTTTTCTTGGGTGTTTGTTTGTTTGTTTTTGAGCAAATTTATGGCCCTAAAAGGCCAGGAAACTCTTGAACGCAGACTCCTGCAGCAGCAATACATTACCTGTTTAAAGACACATATTTTAAAGTGGAAATTCCACTGCTAAGAATGTTTTATGGAGTCTTATTCAGGTGAGAGGATTCTTAGTGTTCATTGTTTGAATATTAAACCCTAATTTACATAACAAATATACAATGGAAGCATAGCTATAAATACATAAGGCATTTACCAGGAACTGTTAATGTACACAATGATACTTCAGAAGTAGCTGCTTCTACTGGAATAAAACATCTGTGGTTTTCAGTTTGTGATATGAAGTACTGACATGATAAATTTGTTGATAGATGTGAAAAGAGAGATGAGGATTCTTAAATATTTTAAGGTTACTATAGGATTACAAAAGACTAATTGCTTAAGTGAGGATTTACTGATGTTTAAAAAAACAAAAATCACCAAAATTATGTTTAAGTATGTAGTGCCATATATTAAGACCTCATTTAAATTTCTTTTCTGAATAATCTTGTGCTTTCTGAAACTGTTGATCTTGGGGATGTTTTTGTTTCTTTCTCTTCCATCCCCTCATAGTTTTAAGTCATCCTATTGTGCTTAGCACTTGTAATGTCCACAGGTTAATCTTCTGGTTTGGTTTGGTTTTGTTTTTCTGCAGGGTGCTGTACCCAAAGGTAATGCCACAAAGGAGTTCATCGAGAGTTTACAGCTAAAGCCAGGACAGGTGGTTTACAAGTGCCCAAAGTGTTGTAGCATCAAACCTGACAGAGCACATCACTGCAGGTAAAATCTTTCATCAAGACCTCAAGAATTATCCAGTATGCCTTGATCTAAATTGTTTCTGAAGCCTGAGGGTGGAGTGGTTAAATTGAGAGATTGGCATCCAAATTCCATTGCTAGTAGTGCCAGACACATTCAGATTTCTCTGAGAAAGTCTCAAGCCTTTTCTGACAAGTTTTCATCTATATCAGGCTGGGGCCACTTCTTGCAAAGCAAGAAACACTTAAAATGAATATTTCCTTGACTCCAGACCTGTAGTTGACATTCCATAAATTTTGATGTAAACATGAATTAAAAAGAGACATTATATACCAGAATGCATAGAAATTCATAAAATGTAATGTTTCAAAAGGTTAGTGTCCTTTCTACTTTTGTTGTTACTCATGAACCCATTTGCCTAACTGTAGATTCTATTTAGAAGGGATATTTAAATTACGTTTAGGTAACTGCATATATATTTTTAAGAGTTCCAACTTCCACATTTTCATTGAGTACTGTGACTTTTTGTTCGTTGTGATAGATCAGTATGCTTACTGATCTGTCATGTCCTTTCTTTTTCTGGTAGGATAAACTTCTCTGAAGAAAGTAACTGGTAGTGAGCTTTTTAGTACTAAAGGCAGTGAGCAAAAAAATAACTACTTCCTAAAATCCTCTTCTGCTTTTAAAACAAGTGAATGTCCTTTCCAGTAAGTAGTTAATGAGTTTGCACTGGTGTCCCTTCCTTACCCACTGAAAGACCAATGCACACAGAGAGAGCTCGTATCATGGTTACTGCTGATTCACACAGGACTCTTGTAGGGAGGGGAATATGTGGTACTGAGCTGAACAAACTTGTTCTGCTGTTTGCATTTTTCATATTTATTTTGCAGATGTTTTTCCTTTTTTTTTTTGTTGGTTTATTTTAATCAAAAGCAAGAGTTGGTTATTCAGCAGGGGCAATGTGATCGTGCCTATCACTTATTAATGCGACTGTAAAATCCCCTCTGACACTTCTTCAATTATGAATGAAACTTTGCATCTGAAATGCTGTCTTGCTGATGACTCACAGCATGGGCAAATGAAAAAGATTCTTTGGCTAAACACAAAACCTCGTCTCCATGGTCCTTTTTTCTACACATTAAGAGGACCTTTTTAGACGTTAAGATTTAAGAAACTGATCCACTGAGCACTGTTGAGAGTCTTCAGTCAGTTTTTTTATGGGGTAGTGGGATTTACTGGATTTTCACACATCAAGGTTGTGCATATACATCAGCAGGAGGTACTGCTAGCTTGTGTACCTGAGGGACCAGAGTGCTTTTTGATTCATATGCTATTCTGTGAGTCCCCTATGCCCAGCAAACTACTCCTGCCAGCATTTGGTAACTGGGTGCTTAAGCAGGGCAGGGAGAGTGTCCGAGTATGGACAATCCCTGCTGCCTATAGTTTTCAGCCTTCGTTTCTGTGTTTCCTCTTTCACCAGCTAGTTGCATGTTCTGCCTCTTACCCAGCTGCTTTCGGTATGTATGCATGGAATAAAGCCTCACCTCTCAGTCTGAGCTACCTCCTTCACAGAGGTCTTGTTTGGTTTGGCTGCTTCAGGTTGTCCCTCTGGGAAACCAGGACCTAAGAGCAATTGAAGAGGTTGCTTGGGTGGGTACTCACCTGTTTCAGAGCCCAAGGGAAGTGTGTGCACATCTGCACAGAGTAAATTAGACCACAGAGATCCATCCTCCTGCTTTACACCGCCTGCCCTGCCTTCCCCTCCCCACTTCTCTTTGGTGAAATCAGTAATTGATACTTGTCCTGTGAAGTAAGTCGTTATCTGGCAGTTAATGTTTTTACTGTGTAAGCTGATTTTCAGTCCCCATGCAGTGCGAAAATGAATTCAAGCTGCTTATTCTAGCAAAACGAGGCTTTTCCTGCTGCCTGCTGCACCTGGAGCTACCAGGTAATAGTGTACCAGTGCCTTCCTGAGGAGAGGCAACTCCTGATCTGGTCTCCTGCTGGGAGGCTGGGCCCTGCCTGACCAACCTTTCATTTATGATCAGGGCTATAGCAACTAATTTAATTGTTTTTCAGGCATGGCATATATCCTTGGGGATTACCCCCTCCCACCATGTAAAGTGCGTGCGAGGCTCTTCTGACGGAGAGGTTTTCTATTATTTATTTATACATGCTTATAAGAATGTGTTTATGGTTTTGTTTGAGTTTCCCTTAGGCACTTGGGTGTTGAAGTTTATTGTTTATATTAAGGTCAAAATATTTTCTGTTGCAAGAAGAAAAATAAAATTAGCAGAGCCCTCAATCCTTTCTGTTTTAGTGCTGCCAGAATTGTTCTGGAATGGCTGTTTCTTTTCTGGGCTCCTTGTTTGTTTGTTTTGGGGTTTTGTGTTTTTTCATATTTGATTTCTGTGCTTGTTTGTGCAATGTGGTATCAGGAGACTGCCTTTCGTCTCCTATCATATGAGAAAGTGGCAGAGAAAAAGACTTCCTTTATTATGTGAGTTGAAGCAGTTACTGACAAAGCAAGAGAATGATGTTCAGACAAAGTAATAATCTTTTAATTCTTTGACTTCTAGCCACAATGTGCATGCTGGCAAGAATTTGAATTTTGATTTTATTAATCTGGTTTTGTGAAGTGCTTTAACATCTAATTTTACCTTGAAAATGTATAGTGTGGTGCTTTCTCCCTGACTGATTGCCACAGCTGTTTTATGCTAGTATGTGGCTTACCTTGCTATCAAGAATCTTTTCTAATGCTTTATTTAATCTTCTTTTTTGAAGTTCCTGCTACCAGCTAATGTTAGTAAATAAACCTTAGTCTGTTATTACTAATTTTGAAAAATACCTTTATTCACTACTGTTTTTCATATCTCTCTGATTTTTTGTTTGGTTTTAATCCATGGACATTTTTACAGACCAAAGAGGTTAAAACTAAACTAAATCATCTGCCTGAATGTATTGTTCAAACTGTATTTTGGCAGAACCACTGATGTGAATGTTATGCTAATATGTGTTACTTTACATTGATTTTTTACGATGGTGATTTTGAACAGACATAGGCAAGTGAGCAAACCACAAATAAAAAAGTGGTGACCAGTAAATTTATTTATGTTCAAATACCACCTCTGATTCTTCCCTTTAATTTCTGTGTCCCCAAAACCCTGTGAAATCTTGTATTCCTGGAATGAAGCGTGCTATAAATAAAGACCTGTATTCTTTCAGTGTTTGCAAGAGGTGTATTCGGAAAATGGACCATCACTGCCCCTGGGTCAATAACTGTGTAGGAGAGAATAACCAGAAGTACTTTGTACTGTTTACAGTAAGTATTTTGGGAGTGGTGTTTGAGGTGTAGATCGTGAAGCCGGCTCTGAAGGCTGGCTGGCTTTTTTATTAATTGTTCCAGGAGAACTTTAAAAGGAATCGCTGCAGACTTTTGTTTCGCAAATTAGGGAACACACACAACAAAACAACAGGGAAAAGGCATCACAGGAAGTATTTGGTTTTGTGTTGACAGTTGTTCAGCAGCTATCTTGTAATGTGAGTAGTTCATTGTGGCATTGAGCTTGTTGAGGTGTAGGCCATCCTTTTACCACTGTACTCTGTGACTGGTAGGGTCCCAGGCCATATGTAGGGTTCCTAAACGTTGTAGTTGTGTGGGATCATATAATAAGAGCTATTGCCACATCTTAAGTGAGGAGTGGGAAATCTGCATCCCCTTTGGCAAGAATTAGCTGCCTTTTACTTGCAAGTGGTTTATTTTTGTACTTGAAAACCAAGGAGGTGTTTGACTTTTTGTACTGTATCTGTGGCATCGTGAGTAAGACAACAGGAGTGCAAACTTGAATACTACATACTTATGGAAGGGTTGAAGTCTGCTTCATCAAAGCAAACTGCAAATACCCCGTGGGAGTAGCTTCAACATTACAAGGCTGAGTTTCAGTGATGCTCTGTTTTATTAATAAATCTTTTGAGACGTCTGTAGGTTCGAGGAAGAGTGTTCTCAGATTACCAAGTGAGAAGCGGGGGGATTTTCAGTTCAATGGAAAACTGCTAAACTTACGTTCTATGGCATGGTTGGTAGGATGTGGATTACAGAACAAAACAAATCCCATTTCTTCCCCTTGAGCAAGGAGTTTTTCCAAATGAGGAGTGAGGTAGGTGTTTTAATTGTATCAAAAGAATTTCTGTTTTTGTTAAACTGACATCTACTTTCAAGCAGGCTGTATTAAACACTCAATTAATGTAGTTGAGAGAGAAACAAAGTAAGGGTTGCTGGTTTTCTTCTTGGTTATTCTTTTTGAGACCTGCGGAGGTGAAACAAGGTGATCAATTTGCAAGAAAAAAAAAACCAATACTCTCCTGTCACCTTTTACTGCTTCCACAGAGGTTTCTTGTAACAAAATCTCTCTTGGTTCTGGTATCTGCCGACCTTTGTCAGAGTTTGCACGTTCAGGAGAGTTGTCTTTCTAGCCCTGTCTTGCTAAATTGTAGAGTAAGTGTAGCATATAGTTTAAAGCTTTTTCTCACAAAGCTAAGACCTGATTTAAAACAAAAAGGATTACATACAAATTATTAAAGCCTGAGAGAAACTTTCCATGCCAGTGTCTGCCTCAGGGAAAAGTACTCATTAAAAAAAAATTAAAATCATTTTTCTGAAACTCATGCTGGAAAATAGAGAAAGTGCTTTTTGTGGTTAAAACAAATTAGCTGTTGTTTTTTCTGGGAAATGATAGCGTTCTCAAGAGCAAGGGTGTAAGCTTTGACAATATGATACTACAGAGAGTAGCTGTTCTCTGAAAGTTGTGCTGTACTCTGTGGAGATAAGGACAGTAAGCCATATGGAAGGCTGTGCTGGGGTGCAGGAGGCTGGTTTTTGGCTCCAGCTGGCTCTGAGTTCAACAGTCTCCCTCCTGTGCACTCAGAGCTGTTGGTAAGGCCAGAATGAGTCTGCAGTCTTGGCATTTGCCAGCTTTGGTTTGCTTGTTTAGGGGGAAGTGGGAAAGCTTCGTGGTTTTTGGGGTGGTTTGTAACTTGTTGGGTTTCTTTCTTTAAGTCTTAACACTTTTCCAAACACTTTAAATAAAGCAGATTTAGCGTTTTGGTCTTTAAACTTACCTGATACCTGTATTTACATCCCTTATTTTTCAGATGTATATAGCACTGATTTCTCTGCATGCTCTCATTATGGTGGGATTTCACTTCTTGTATTGCTTTGAAGAAGACTGGACAAGTGAGTAGTAACAAAGTATCTCATTAAAATACTGGATTAACCTGTAAATGAGACATTATAATGTAGTTCGCTTGTAAGGCAAATCCTTTTATGCTGGTTTCAGAAGAATGCTATCAGGGTTCTGCTGTGATATTGCTATTTTTTTAATGATCAATCCTGGAACTTAATTAATTCTTTCTGACATGCTGGGATCTCTGTCCTGAAAAGACATGTTTCAAAGTAAGCCTGGTACTGCCTAGGGAGAAGCTGAGATATAAAGACACTGAGATAGTATGTGTGCAATAAATCTGTTGTTGATGTGAATGCAGCACTAGTTTCCTGAATACCAACACAAGACAAGAAGAATGTGTATGGAGTTATTTTTTAAGAGTAATGTGAGTCATTCTTACAAGACTGCCAGGAAAACATGCTAACTCTGATCCAAAATCCCACCCTCATGAGAACAAAGAATTCCTTTCCACAAAAAAAAGCCTAAAACCAAAAAACACAAAACAAAAAAAACCAAACCAAACAAAGGAACCAGCCAAACAAAAAACCCAGCCCTAACTCTGGAGCAGCCAATGAGTAAATTTTCACAAAGCCAGTTGAGATGCGTTTTTAAAAACACAAATCAATATAGGAAATTCTCTAGGTAATACTGAGTCTAACAGCAAGCTGTCAAAGAATGTGTGTGCTGCTTGTGGACGTTTCCTGGAAGAACATTAACTTCGTTTTTCTTGGAATTTCAGTTGCGACATTCAATCTAATGAGCAGTTTTAGTTTATAATACTGCAGAGGACAGGTACGTTTGCACATATAAACTGTATTTGACAGGGTTATTCTGCAGTTCAAAGCTTTGTAAAACAGCTGCCAGCTGTACTGAGAACATCTGGCATTGCCTACAGTGGCCAGGACCATAGTGGGAGGATTACATAAAAAGATGGTTTCCTTGCCCCCTTTCTCAGAGCTTGTGTCTGTGGGGGAAGCAGTGTCTCACCTGTCCCAGGTTTAGGTGGCAGGACAGAGCAGTTTTGAGAGGTGGATCCAGCTGCCTTGGATTTGAGCTGATTGTGTTAGCCCCCAATTATGGTATATCTGTTAACACCTCATGAGAAAAATAGGGTTTTTTGTTTATGCTCTTTCTTTGATTTCAGAATAATCTGGAGATATTCTGACATTTACAACACTCAACACTATATGATTTTCATCCTATAACATTTTCCTCCTTCTTACTTTCTTCTGCTCCCCTTTTATAGTTACCTTTTTCAGCTCTTGCTTGAGTTTGCACTATAGAATATAAAGCAAAATAAGAATTTGTCTTAATCTGCCATTCTTAAAGTTATGATTTAGAGCAGTTATGAAAGGAAGCGTACTCTGGTTTTTATGTTGATGCTACAAAAATCATTATCCTTGTGTCTTGACCACCAGCTTGAGCTTTCTAATGGGACTTCATCACTGTGGAAAATATGTTAAGATTAAGTTTTAAGAGAGAAGCTACAGGTGAAATGAAGCAGAGTGGAGTCCTAGCCAGTGTGCTGGGAAAACACCTAAGTGGAAAAGAAAGTTGCATTCTTGAAGTGTTGCAGGGTTTGGTGTTTTGTTTTGGTTTTTTTTTCTTGTTTTTTTTTTTCCCCCAAACTTGCAGGAGTGATCATTTCATTGTTGAATATCATCAAGAATGTCAGAGCTTCCCTGCTTTTTGAGAATGGTGATTGTATAATTTATTTTGACAGTTTGAGTATGGAAAACTCGTGCCTTAGCAGATGTTTTGCAGCTGCTGCATTACCTGTTCACTCCCCTTCCAACTCATTGTTTTGTCTTCACAGAATGCAGTTCCTTCTCTCCACCAACTACAGTGATTCTCCTCATCCTCTTGTGTTTTGAGGCTCTCCTGTTTCTCATCTTCACCTCGGTTATGTTTGGGACCCAAGTACACTCCATCTGCACTGATGAAACGGTGGGTGTCTCACACACTTCTCCCTTAACTCTGTCTCTCTCACTGTTTGTATAAACAGTGAAGGGCGACAGGGTTTTGCCTCATTGCGCGGGGAGTTCATGTATGTGTACCCTTTGAGGAATGATGCAGTGTAATAACTGAGCTAGTGCAGTGCTGGGCTGTGCTCTCTGAAGGTTACTGTGAGAGGTGGTGTACACCTATGCATTGGCTGGTGTGCTGTGTTAACAGTAAGGTTAAGGTAAGGTAGTAAGGAAAGGTAGGCATTGGTAACTGGGATTACTCTGTAGAGTCATTTCAGAACCTTTTTCCTTTAGTGAAGTGGTGTTACACTGGTGTTGTCTTAAATCCAGTTGTGTGTTCTTGCAGCTTTTTGTGCTGGAAAAGCAAGATGAGTAGGTGGAAGAGGGATATAAAGGTAGAGAGATACACAAACACACTACTTTTAGCCTAGAAGATTTCCAGTTTTAGCTGCTTGTTAAACAGTTAAAAGTCTCTTGCCAAAGGGAAGAAGAAAAAGGAGTGGAGTAGACTCATGGAAACCTGGTGGGTACAGTCTGCTGCAAAGCCACCAGATCATCCCCAATTCAAAGAATGCATAGTCAATGTTACACAGCAGTGTTGCAGTCCGTTGTATGTCCCTGCACTTGCCCACTTCAGTAAAGATGGAGCCGATGACTCCTGGGGTTGTTCCCACTCTTGTCAGTACTGCCAGCCTTCACCAAGCATGCTCAGATATTGCAGTTAAGTGGAGTGATTGAAGAGAAGTGAAAGTCTTAAAAGTGACAACTGTTTTCTTTCCTGTCTCCTTTAATTTTCTTTCCCCTTCACTTGTTTTCCCATGGCCAGTTGAAGCTAGAAGAGGTATTTTTGCTGCTCTTGGAGAGCTATGACTGGCATTGTAGAGTGTAAGAACCCATTGCTCCCGAGTCTTTTTCGCAGTACTTTATAAATGCTTGGCTTCTGCAGAAGGCTGCTGTTCACACTGTGTGCCACACTGTCTTCAGTGGAAGACTTCAGCTGTTGTTTCTGCTGGGGAGAGCCCCAGGAAGAAGTACAGTGTCATACAGAACAAGATCCTGCTGAGCTTGAGTTTATCAATAAGTGCATAAATTAGCAATGCTGTCTGTGAAATAGTCATCTGCACTCCTCAACCTTTGAAACCTGACAAGAATTTTTAGTGGCTGCTTTCTACAACCAGGCACCCAAATAAGTCTCCTGATTTTTCCCTTTGCCTCAAATTCTGGGATTCTATAGGTGTTGAAAGAACTTATGCCACAATCTAAAATGAAATATGGGCTCCCCCTGTTGGGCTGTGGGGTTTCGTTTTTGTCTTCTGTGTGTGATACTCCTCATTGTTGATTTTGCTAGCCATGAGCTAGCTGTGCATGGCAACCCAACTGCTTCAAGCAGAAGGATATTTCCAGGTGAAATTATTCCTGGTATGGCCTCTTGCAGTGTTTACTTAACATTTTAGAGACAGGGCTGTGTCTTGCCCTTTCTCACCTTCCTCTTCCAATCGCTGGGAGACCTCATTCCCTGTTTTGTGTGCCCTGCCCCACTGGGATGGTTCCTCTCTACCTGAAAGGACCCGGAACCCTAGTATTTTGCTGTTGTCTCTAGAGGTGACATTTATGATCAGCACAACTCTTTGCGGTTGATACATGTTCTGTTCTGCGGAGCTCCCAGAGTGGGTAATTTGAGGCGTACAGATGTATTACAGTGCATGGATCCATAGCACAGGAGAGACTTGTAGGTCAGGAGGCGCTTACCTTGCAAAAGAGATGAAGTTAAAGAACAGAATGACCTGCCTGCTACTGCTACCCGAGGAAGAGTAATGCTCTCCAGGGACTGCATTCGTTTGCTTTACTTCTGTGGCAGCCAGGCATGGCTTTCCTGAAATGGCAAATTCTCTTTGTGGGTTTTAGATCTGATACAGATAATTTAATTTTTTTAATGATTGACCAGTGAATGTTTCAGCTGATAGCTTGATGGCTTGTTTTTGTTCTCCCTCTAACCTTTAACCTTTACTAAACAATGCCAATGATTTCTCTTCCTCCCTGCTGTCAGCCCATGCATGTTTTGGCAATGATTCTAATGAAACATGAAGAGGCACCAGGTAGACTCAGCTACACTGAGCCATGGGCACTTCCTGAACTTGCTTGGTGAATCTGGGAGCATTACAGAGATTATCTTTGGGGTTGTGGGATTTTTTTTTTTGTCTGCAAGCTTATGGTGGTTTCCTCTGAAACTTTTCCATCTGGTTAGCACATAATGTTTTCAGCCATTAAAGCACATATTTTGTGTTTGGTTTAAGGTGGTTGTGGTTTTTTTTTTTTAATTGACATTAGAGGCAATTGGAGGGGGAGGTCCTAAAAGGTTTGATGAAGTATGTAGGCCTGAACAAAATTAAAGTAATTTTATTTTCAATGAATATTTTCTATCCTTAGTATTTTTTAGCATTAAAAAAAATGAGAAGGAAAGGTAGTATAGATGCATTTTTGTTTTCTTACTCCACCCTTTGGATAAGGGGTAATTGAGAGCAGACCTTTCCCCAAATCCAGGGCTACAAAATCTGAGTGTTTGACTGAAAATGTGATATTTCTGTTTTCAGGGAATAGAACAGTTGAAAAAGGAAGAGAGAAGATGGGCTAAAAAAACAAAATGGATGAACATGAAAGCAGTATTTGGCCATCCGTTCTCTATAGCATGGCTTAGCCCATTCGCAACACCAGACCAAGGAAAAGCAGACCCGTACCAGTATGTGGTCTGAGGAATTCTTGACCAGCATTTCCACTAAAATAGAAACATATTACAGCACTACTGTTATAAATTTTCCATGAATGTTTAAAACAAAAAGCAGAACAAACTTTTTTTTATGTCTGTTAAATGGCTGATAATTGCAGAGGGAAAAAAAAGCCCTGTATTCCACAATTTCAGATAATTCTATATCTCTGGCTGAAACTGCTGCTGCTTTTTTTTTCATCATCTTCTTCTTTTTTTGTTGTTTCCTTTTTTTTACTCTTGTTAACGTTACTGGCCTTCGTTTCTCACTGCTTTCTGTATGGCATAACTAATGTGAAGGGGATCCTCTTCCTCTGTTGTGACCCACCTCTTCTGAGTAGCTACTCATGCTGTCTCCTGACTGTGACGAGCTCTGTGGAAGACATTTGAGTGCCAACAGCCCTACACAGACACCTTTGGACCTTCTGAAGGAGCACATTGCTCTTTCGTAAGTGAACTTGACCGGGAAGCAGACATTTCACTTACCAAAAGGTGCAAGACAAGAAGTGACACAGCAAGAAAGTCAGTTGACCTGGTGGTTGCATACAGTTAAAGTACTTAAAACAGATGTTGCCAATGCCAATTCCCACCCCAGCCTCCTTTTTCCTTCCAGCCACAGAACTGATTCCATCTTTCTGGCTTTATTTTTGTCTGTTCCCTCCCTTGTGTGCAGGAAATGGTTGCCCTCTTAGGGTGACTGTGGCAGATTTAGAAGACTCTTTGGATTATTACATGCCTTATACTGCAGAAAAGAAGGAAATCTAATTTTCGAGCGTTTAGAATAGCAGAATCATCTTCTTCGTGTGTGTTTGTCTTGGTAAATGAGTTGTTAGAGCAATGCCTGCTAAACAGTGTTAATGTGGAAAACTGACATGAATGCCCAGAGGCAGACGGATCACTATAAAGACTAATGTTGACGGGATGTGTAGGGGTACCAGGGTGACTGATTCTGTATTCTTAGCATTGTCCTGGTTTAGAGCTTTGTAAATCTCTTCTCATATTTATGCATACACGTGTACGTGTGTGAACACACACACATGCATGTGTAAGTGTTTTAAATTGGAAAATATTGATGGTAAGGAGCATGCATACTGTTATAACTGTGTGGTGATGGAGGTGGGAGGGACAGAAGGCATTCCAGAAACGGGTAGAGCTAAACTCTTCATAACTACAACTTGACTCCTTGTGTTCAGGTAGGAATTTTATTATATTTTTGGATCATGACTCCCATGGGCTCATCAGGTGGTTGCAAACAAAGGAAAAACACAAATCAGCTGTGTCCATGACTTCCGAGGAATCTTTTCTTTCCTTGGTTTAAAATAAAATGGTATTTTTTTGGAAAATGATCTGGTTTAGACTGCTTCAAAGCCATGAGGGAAGGGAGGGGAAATAAAGGAAGGAGAAATTTAATGGATGTTTTGTTTTGGAAGTAATGTGAATGCTGCATCTTTTCAATCTGTCAATGCTTCCATATGGAAAACAAATGCAATAAAACTTTTCCAAAAACTTGTTTGTTGTTCTTATTTTCTTTCTTCACTTTAAACACTGGGGAAAATCTGTAGTGGTTTTCTGAACTTTCACTTCTGTACACAAGCAGGCAGAAGCATATGAAGGTTAATTAACTGAGTGTCCAACTTCTGAGTTTAAAAACGAGTTAATCAGTAATACACTGATCTGTTAATCGGGGGTTTTATTTCCCCACTTGGGAGAGGCTGTCAGTAACTGCTCCGCTGTGTAAGTGGGCTGTTTCTGCAGCCCTCCTTGCTCAGGGTTAGACCAGCGGGAGGATGTTGTGATCTTTGCTGCAGGACGGCACAGAGGAGCCACAGGCTGCACTTCTGCCTCGGGGGGGAAGATGCTGTGAAGCAAAGGTGGCCTTTGCATGCACGTTTCCTTAATGAAGAGTTGTTAGGAAAACTTTTAGGTTTTGTTTTTATAGTGGTGATGCTGATAGTGGAAAGCTATTATACATAAATATGTAGCTCTGATTTTTATATGCAACGGTGTTTTTCAGAGAATGCTTCCAGCTTAATAGTTAAGGGCTGGATCTTTGGCCAGGATCAGCTCAGCCACTGAGGCACGTGCAGGTGGTAACTCGAACTCATAGAGAATCTGGCCCTAAAACTGTCTTGATGCAAAATCAAATGTATTGAGGGAAGAGGCTTTAGTCACCTGGGCAATTAACAAATGCATCTTACTGTGCAGTTCATTGCTTTAGAAACGGTTTTGATTATAAATTCCACTGGTGCATGTTCCAGTTTAGTATTATTTTGATTACCTTTATTCACTGTGCATTTTGGAGGAAAATTGGTTACGTTGTTATGGCATTTCGACCGTTGTGAAAAGAGTCTGTAATGAGTTTTTACTGTTTCAAGCAAATGCAAATTGTTAAACAGTGTTATAGAATACTGATATTTGTAGTTAAATTGGTTTTGTTTAAAATGAGACATCATCACAGCTTGCAGAAATGCCCATTGGTATCTTTTGTGTGTGTCTTGGTAACCAGGGGTCCTCTGTTTTACTTGCACTGTACAATTTGGTGGTGCTATATGATGCAGTTTAAATGATGCTAAATGTAGGTCAGCGTTCATATGAGAAAGGCAAAGCTAGAGAAAGGATTTTCTCAAACAAGACTACCTGATTTCAGGGTCTGGTTCTATTTTAGTGTGGCTGAGAGAAATTGAAGGACAAACTTGATCACGGATGGGATACTTCTTTTTTGAAAAGCTTTTACTGAAATGAAAGTGACTACTATTTTATATTTCTCTATGTTTGTATGTATGCTTTTCTCAGTGTTTAGACAAAATTAATGTAATTTGGAATAGTGACAGGTGATGCTTTTTGAGCACTTTTTTTTAAAGTGAAATAGCTGCATGGTGGGAAAGAGAAACAGTTGTTGGTTTAATTTGAAATACAACATTCTCACTTTCTAAAATAATGGTGAGAGATTTGGGGTAAATATAGTGAAGTTTCATTAAACAGTAATGAAACGTCTTCAACAGTTGTGCATTCCTTCCTTCCCCCTTAATTTTTATTAGGGCAAACCCTCCCATCCTACTGACCATGGGGCAGGCAGCCAAAAGTAGGCCAGGATGGAGTTTTTAGAACTTCTGCTGATTTTTCAATACGTGCCCTGAAGGGATTAGTGGGGTCGGGCTGGGAGAGAGAAAGTGTGCCCCTGCCTGCTCCGATTAACTGCTCCCTAATCCGATGTTAGTGCAACCTCAGCCTGACCTTGCTCACCGCCTTGCTTAGCAAGTACTGCTCTGAGCAGGTGAACGATGCCTTTTTTGGGGAGGGAAGAGAAGGGTTGCTCCCAGAACCGTTCAAGATCCTTATTCCTGATTTAGATGGCAGCGTGGATCAAACCGGATTAACACACGTGACGGAGGGGAGGGTTAAAGCTTGTGCTGCCAGGGAAGGGTTTAAATGCTTGGTGTCTGTTTCTCCTCCTGCCTGTACTACTTGCTTTCCTTCTCTCCAGATACTCGTGCAGTAAACGCAACCGCGGTGGTGGTTTTTTACTACCATGTTAGAAAGCCCTGCAGTTTGCTCAGAAGCAGCTGACAACCAAAGGCCTTCGTCTGCTCTAAGCCACAGAAGTGTCTGCCTCCTGCCTGCATGGCCACAGGGCGCTGGAACCGGGGCATCCCAGAGGAAAGGCACATGGAAGTGCTAAAACACTTTGCCAAGGCTCTGCTCTGCCGTCCGTGAGTGCAGCACTGAGTGTCTCATCCCAAGGTGATGCAAGGGATTTTCCCTGGAACAGTCAAAACTGTGCATTTGCAAGCTTGGGAGCAGCGCGAAGGGACACACGCCTGTGCTTAGCATTGCAAGGTGCTTCCGGGCTGGAGTTTGTCCTGAAATTTCAACCCTGAGGACCTCAGCATGGGTATTGCGTCGTTTTTTCCTGCACCTTAGCTGCTGGGTATCTCCTAAGTCAGCACGAGAAATACGGAGCATGAATGAAGCTCACAGAAGCTTTGCATGTAATTCTTTGGTTTTACAGTGTGTTTTCTTGTGGGTCTGCTTGTCCTGACTCAATGTTACTGCAAAACCAAGCTTCTCCTGCAGTAAAATGTCGTGTTACGTATAAGGCTTTACTGCGAGTGCAGCTGTGGTCCTGCTGAGCTGTTGTGAATGTTCATTTCCCCTTTTGCCCCCAAAAAAATTCTGAAATGTTTTGTGGGTCATTAGGGAAAATCTGCAGAATTAGAACGTGACAAGTTTATTTTTCATCCAGCTCTTCCAAAACGGCCCCTTTAAATGGTTTTAACCTAATTTGCTAATTTTTCCTTTCCTTGAGTGTCTCAAAACTTGGATCCAGTATTCTTGCATCTCTTAAAAACAGAGTTTCTTGTGGTCACTTGTGTATCTGCATGAGCTCATCATACGCAGCTGTAGATATGACTCCTCTCCTACACCGTACAGAAGATGGGCATAAAAAATTGCACCCTATTTCACATAGTGTAGCCTTTAAAAAAATCCCATGCATTTTCTTAGTTCCTTATTTCTACATGGAGAAGAATACCAGAAAAAAAAAAGTCACTGCCCAAAGTTGATGGATCTGTTATTTAAATACAATCAAAATCTTTGCTTTACTAAGAAGTGATGTTCTTGGAGGGACAGCGAGTCAGAATAGCGACTGGCCAAGGCTTTGGTCCAGCTTTGAGACCTCTTCCACCTGTACAGGTTTCCTCATGTCCCAGCACGTATCTGGCTTGCGTTGTGATTTGTCTTTGATGATTTGTTAAAGGAAAGTTGTGTTTTTAAATGCTTCTTCTTAATTAGCACCAAATGGACTTGTTCTTATGTCAGCTTCTAGCATCTAGCCTAGATACGACTGTGGTAAATTTCTGATCACTGGAAAAAGTTGCAGTATTTTGCCTGTATCTGAACTACTGTAAAAATGCCCAAATAAGGTGAAATTTTAAATTTTAATTGTATTTTGTTACTCCTTGGAGGGATTCAAAAAGCATCAGGGGAAGAGATGCACATTTCCAAAAGGGATGGCTTTTTAGGAGCTATCTCTTTACCATAAAAATCAATAGCATCTGGTACGGAAATAAGTCACCGAGACGCAGATTGTCCTTGTGTTTGGTCTTGCTTTAGGGTTTTATAGTTAAACTTGGGGATGAAACTCTTAAGTCTGTCATCATTGCTAACTGAAACCTGAACAACAACCCGGCTGCAGATGGGCAGTTTTGCACATGCTACAGCAGTTGCTGCACAGATACCTGCTATAAACGTGAGATGACCCAAAACTCTTCTCTTCTTGCAGGGTATTGAGCGCCTTAAAAATCAGAAGCCAACCTGGGAGAAGATGAGCGGCTGGGAAGGGATGAAGCTGGCATTTGGTGGCTCCTTCTCCTTGGGTTGGTTCAATCCCTTTTCGGACCTGAGCTGCGAGAGCCCAGCGCCGGCCGAAGCGGTGTCAGCGGCTCCTGCGTCTGCAATAATGACCCAAGAAGAAATTGAGCAGTTTCTTGCTCAAGAAGTTGCCGTCCAAGCCTCACATGAATAAGCAAGGCATCCTCCAAGGTGTCGAGAGCAGCTTTCAGTTGTTTGTTTTAATAACTGCTTGTGCTGGAGATTGAAGGGATTGGTTTTTAACAGACTTTTGGTACATTAAAAAATTCAGGAGCATTTATCCAGAAGCCAAGTACAGCAGTAGCAGAAGCAATGCAAATCTCCAGAGAAAGCTTTGTGGCTGATGAGATTCATAAGCTCATTTCAGACCTGCGTCAGCTGCTTTACTGAGCTTTTCCTACTTGGTCTTTAAGGAAAGTTTATAGTTGTTGGGTGGATTGGTCCTAAGGAGTCTGCTTAAGCTTTTGTTCTTACAGCCTTTTGGAGGGCTAACCGATAAGCTCTGTGTGATGGCTGGATTAGCCCAGCTCTAAAGGCTTTCTTAAAAACGCATCCTTTTTAGCTCATCCCATGGATGCTGCCTCTGGATTTATGAAAGCCAAGAGCCGGCAAGCACTGGCCAGGCTGTTGAGCCGCTGTGGCCAGGAGCGTTCGCCTAGGGCCTGTGATTTGTTAGCATGTGGACATGTGAAACAGGAGCTGCATGGCCAAATTCTGTGGCCCAGAAAGCAGCAGCTGCTCTAGGCCAGGCACCGGGGCTGTTTCTGCAGTCAAAAAAGAGAGGGAGGCATGAGCACCCTGATGATGCGGGTACCAGCTCCATCACTTGACTTCTCTAATTTAGATGTCTCTTTTTTCTTTTTTTTCCTTGGTATCCAGAGTAAGTTGAGAATGAATGTTGCCTCTTAATCTTACTGATGTTTAACATTGTCCTGTTAATACTTGCCTTTATGCAGGGTTTCCTTGCACCAATTTTGCAGCCAGCCCCTGGTGAAGGTTGGTGAGCACGTAGCAGGAAGGTGCATCGCTCAAGGGAGGCGTCACTGCAGGTGGCAGTAATTGCAGTAAAGCCATGCAGAGGTGGTGCTAACCACTGCGTTCAAACACACTACAGACACTTGACATGCTCCAGACATCAATGTAGTTTTTCTTGTCATCTCCCTTAGTTTAATTGTCCATAAAATTTGAAAGGTATTAGGGAGATGTGCTCCTGGTTTTCCCTCACGGGACATGCTTGACTTAATCTCCTCCTCCCCTGTAACATGGACCAAAGACAACTGTTTTCTCTCGAAAGTAAGAGAAAGGCATTTTAGGGATGAAAATGTCGTATTGTGAAAGACCTAGATGAAGTTTTTAATATTTATAAAAGCAATACCAAATGGAATTTGTGCAAAATTATTTTTTCCCAAAGAAACCCCCCATCTTAATATGTATTAACGGTGCGATGTTCAGGGCTACTGTGGAGGGATGAGACTCTCTCCTGGACTTGTCCTCTGCCACAGCAGTCTCTTTTTTTTGGCAAAGGAGCTGGCAATAAATGGAGTGCTGTGACTGTTCAGAGCACAGCTTGGCTAAAACCCAGGGGGTATTTCCGAAAAGTCATCCCATCCCCTGTCCCCTCGTGATGTCTCCTCTTTGTCACTGAAAACTAGATTTAGAAAAAGTCATTAGGAACTGTCTATTTGTAAAATGTAAAATAGGTAAAGGGAAACACCCTGTATCTGGGGGGAATTGAGGTGTCCTCTCGTGTCATTTAGACATGAGGTCTTAAATGTCTTTGTCTTGTGCAGCAGTGTGATAGTGAGGGAAAAAGCTCTCCTGATCCTGCATCTACGTTCCTCTCTGTCAGCAACCCGTGGGAAAGGGACATACGCAGATCTGTAAGGGATTTCCTATAGAGAGCAATAGGGATGCTGAAGGAGGAAAAGTAGCTCAGAAAAGCATGCTTTCACCAGAACAGCCATCTCTCCTCTTCCAACAGTGCAGCTACAGCCCAAGTGAGGGATGGAGACACGTCCGTGTGCCCTATGCAGAGCGGTGGCAGCCAGCCCAGCCCCAGCTCTGATGTCCCCTAACACCTGATAGGGTGAATTTCTATGTCCAGCACATTGGTTATTCTGATGTCTCTTGGCTGTCTATCTCCCTTGTCCACCTCTTCTTCCTTCCTCGCAAAGTCCCAGTACCCCTCTGTGTATGTCCTCTCTCAATATCGTGTGGCAACAGTCAGAAATTGCAAAAGATCTTCACAAATTGGAAAGATCTGTTTTATCCCCAGCTTTGGCGTAAACCTCCTTCTTTAATTACTACCTGGTAGCTTGAGACCAAATGTGATTTTCATGACATTGAAACCAAACATGCCATTTCCCTTCCCTTCCCTCTATGCACTCCTTGCCCTTTGTTAAATGGTGCCTTCATCTTCAGGCCGTGCTGCCGGGGTCCTTGAGAGTGCTTGGTGTGCTGCAGTCTGCTGGAGATCTCGTCACTGCTCTGGCACGAGGTGTCAGTGTGTGATGGACAGGGTCGTGCCAGATGTGGAAAGTGTTCTTGTATTTCTTACCAGTGTCTTCTACAGCAGGTTTTTCTATGCAATTAAAGAACTTACATAACTTGAAAACAGATATATTTTGCTGTTTGTAGCTCCTTTTTATGCCTCTGGTCGCTATTGTACTTATTAAAGAACTAATTTTTCCATCTGCCAAGGACTGCCTGCTCCTCTCTTCCCCATAGTCACTGTGCTAGGGGCTGGGGGAGCCTGACCGCCTTTTGTGGCTCAGCCGCCACTTAGGCACTCCTCAAATCTTTGAAACACAAGGGAATGGTCAAACCCTTCTTTCTCCTTTATTTTTTTTCCTCCTGCCTTTTTATGGCCTGGCACATAACTGGGTGGAGTTGCCATTTCTTTATTCCACTCTATGGACCTAATGCTTGAGCATTTGCCTTTTTAAATAAACAAATAAATAAACCCCTGCACTACCGTGTGGCTCAATTTCCTCTTTCCTCATGGAAATGCTGGAAACCCCAGCATCTGGATGCTGTGGAGTGGAGCCATTCCCTGCCACCTCTGGGCTCAGGAGGTGCTGGGATGTGCAGCTTGGTGGCAGGGCTGGGTGGGCTCGGTGGGCACCGATAACAGTGCTGGAGATGGTATTTCTTCCAAAAAAAACCCAAAAGAAATTGAGTGGGAAGGAAGAGGTATGAAAAATGGTGTTTGAGGAGACTGAGTCAGGATTTGCTCTTTTTGTTGTCTAAAGCCAAAAAAGGTGCATGCAAAACATCTCCCAGGCTCACACCCACCACCGGCCAAAGCCAGGACCCTTATGAGCTCCGATCCCCAGTCTGGGATGGGAATGTCCCGCTGAGGGCTTGGAGCCATGCCAACCTGGCAGCATCATAAGACCTAATCACACAGTTGATGTTAACAACCTTTATTGAATCACAGTTAACTGCAATCAACGCAACTGTGCCTTTTAAGTCAGTTTAATTCCCTTAGCTTAATGGGATTTTCACTCTTTACTTTGAGACTACCACCCAGCAATCAAGGAGGCAAGAAGTGTCCGCAACATGCAGCTGTGCTACGTGTTTAGCGAGGCCTCCATTTACACCCCGCCGAGGCACTGATCCTACTCGGTGATGGTGATGGTCTTCTCCACAGAGATCCCTTTGATCTGGGTCGAGGTCAGCTTGGCTACTATTTTCTTCTCTCCTAGTCTCGTTGGAGTGCAGACTACTTCAGACTTAATGATCTTACCAGGTTTTATGTCCCTAATGAGGAAGAAAATAACAAATAGTGCCAGCATGAGTTATGGTTCTTATTTGCTGTTTCTGAATAATTTTGCTTAAAGAAATAGTGGCTGTGTGTGTGTAGGCTGAGTGTTTCCTTTCTCTGATGCTCAACATGCAGCAAGCAGGGCTTGGCACAGTGGTGTTGGCTGGTGGTCCTGGTGCTCCCTGGGAACCCTCCCAGACCATCCCGTGATGATGAAACACTAAATTTGGCTCTGAAGGAAGCAGCAGGATGGCCCTGCCAATGCCCAAATGCCCTGAGCAAGCCAACCTCTGCATAAGTCTTTCAGCTGCTGCGACTGAGCCTAAATTTGGTGCAGTCTCGAACATGGCTTTCCAAGGGTCACATTGCTACAAATCCCTCAACTGCTTCTTCAAGGGAAATGAGGGGGGAAAAAAGAAACAAAGCAGAATCCTCGTTTCTCACTGGTCTGGTTGCCTTACCCTTCATCAAACGTTGCCATCTTAAATATGCCCAAGCCCTCCACCAGCAGCTTGCAGTTGTCCAGGGACATGTTCAGCCTGTTCTTGAAGATGAAGGCACAGGTGAACTCCTCGTTCAGTTTGGCTGTTTCTGGCATCTGGCAGAGGAGGAAAGAGAGAAACAAACCCAAATGTTGGGGGTCAGAGAGGTAATAAAGATGTCAGAGCTGCTGACAGCTTGCTCTTCACCACCAGCATGGTGATGGACACTCTCCCGTAGCCTTTCCACCCTCCCATGTCACTGTGTGCTTTGCCCTGCTGTTTTTCCCTGCTATTTTTCTTCTCTCTGGTTTCTCAACATGTTTTTCCACCAGGAGGTAGATCTGTGTTTTGAAGATAGGCCTTGTACAAAGGGTCCTCTCCATCCCCTTTACTCCAGGAGCCCCTGCCTGCCTGCTTTAGATAGGGCAATAAAAATCTACATTTCATGGCTTTCATCCTTCAAATAAAGGTTGAGCAGCCAAATAAAATACCAAGGACTGAACACCCCAGGAGGCAGCTCTTTGGAGATGTCCCCAGGAATGCTAACACCACCAAAGTGCTGCAGGGAGCAGGGCTTTAACCCTGGTCCCCAAGAGCTGGGCTGGCAGCTGCCTCACCTGGACAGTGATTGGGGGGTACTCAAAGCTCATCGTCGCCTCCTTGGTGAGTTTGTCATCAGTCCCCTCGACCTCGGCAATGGCAGTGACATGGATGTGCACTTCATCTTCCACCGAGGCCAGTGTCTTCATGTATTCGTCGGCTGGGATTTTCAGGGCGACCTGTTTCTCTGTGGGAGAGAAAGACACAACTCAGTGCTTTATCATATACCCGCAAACTGGGTGGCAAATTTGGCTCTGGTGACTGATGCCTGAGAGCACAGGATGAGGTATATTTGCTGAGACCATCCTGTTTTTGGGTAGACTTGATGTCCCTGGAGGAGGAAGCCCCAGCTTGCTGAATGGTACCCAGCACACGCAGCCCACATGGAAGAGTGGCTGAGCTCACACCATTTCTCTCCCTTGGACTCACATCCAGCATTTCAGCAGGTCTTGTCCCCAGCTGCCCCGGTGCTCAGGAGGAGGCAGAGGAGCCTCCTTAAAGGTTGAGTACATTTAAGCCCGTGTCCCCTGGGGCTTCTCTGTGGCACCACTTTGCTATAAAATTAGCTGCTTTCCTTTCACTTCAGATTTTATCTTTAATTGCCTGGACAAGCTTCCAGTGGCTTGGAAAAGCCCCAGAGTCAGCAGTGCTGGAGCCTGAATCTTGCTTTAGTCGCAAGGTTTCCTGGCTTCTGGGAGTAAAAAAAAAATCCTGTCTTTATCTCTAAATGTATGTATCTTCTCTTGCGTCCTACCCTGCTGCATTTTGACAGCCACAGTATACATGTGACAACACCTAGCAATCACCAGCAGCAAAGATTTTTTTTGCAAGAGTGACTCAAGCTTGGAATGAGCAAGTGCTGTTAATTATTCATCACTTGTTAGTCTCTCGTTTAGCAAATTTCAGTCACATTGCTGAGGATCACAAATGCAACCCAGGTTGCTCAAAGACACACAATGAACAGTCAACAGCTCCGGGGATCAGCCAGGTAGGCAGCCACGATGTTGAAATTTGCTTGGGTGAAGAATTCAGAACATAACACTCACCCACATCACCACCAGCTGATCAACATTAGTGGTAAGCATAAGAAAAAAATAAAATCACGAAATGGTTTGTGTTGGACATGACTGGATCATCCAGTCCAACCCCCTCTGCCATGGGCAGGGACACCTCCTACCACACTAGGCTGCTCAAAGCCCCATCCAATCTGGCCTTGAACACTTCCAGGGAGGGGAAGGAAATTTTCCAGCCATTTAAATCCCGTGAGGGATCTGACCCATATGAATGGGAGAGAGATGCTTCACCACACCTTGCTCGCACAGTGAAAACGTCTGTCTGCCCACACCAGTGTATTTCTAACCATCTTGTTGAATCTGCAGCAGGGACAGGGCCTTCATGTTTTAGTTCCTGCTACGGTGGGATCCCAGTCTATAAGCGAGACTCCTAGATGCAGTAACAAGAAAGGTGGGTAGCAGGCAGACAATTTCTGCTCTTCATGCCATACAGAGCCATGCACTGACCTATAGCGGAGCTACTATGAACCAGCAGGAGTGAAACCCCAGACTGCCCGCAGAACACAGCAAGCTTTCTGTGCCTACCAGATATGCCTTCAAGCTTGATGGTCTCCTTGATATATCCAAGGCTGGCCTCAACTTTCCCAGTATAGGACTGCAGCTGGCAGGAGCCAACAAGACTGATGGTCCAGTATCCAGAAGTAGAGGTCTTCACTGTGATGGCCAATTCAAGGGGATTGCCAGGATACAAAGGTTCTTTATTGGTTATCTCAAGCTGAATCCCAGACTGGGAGACTGTATCATGTGGGACTGCAGGCTTGGAGATCATGTTCTCCATGGGCAGAATCGAAGCAAAACGTGCACGAGGTACTAATCCCGAAGGGCGTAAGAAGGAGTAAGCTCTCTGCATAGCTTTCCTTTCCTCTTCAGAGCCTGGATGAAGAAAAAAGATGGGTCATAGCTGTATCATCTCAGTCTCCTCACCCAGAGCCATGTTGCCTTTATTTATCCTTCTGCTGCTGAGCAGAGAGGATGTCAGGGCACCTCTAGCCTCTGCTCAGGAGATCCTCTTGGTTTATGCTACCACCAGATCTAACTGTAGGATTTTGGACTGGAAGAATTTCCCAAATGAGACTTTTAAGAGAATGGATGGTCTTAAATTTTTCAGCTGAAGATTTTCCCACTCGTCACTGGGAAGGGTTTGACAGTCTAGCACAACATGGCTGGATCTGAGAACTGTGGGGAGGGAATGCAGGTGTTTTTTTGTTTCCAATATGGTCTGAGGAATGGAAAGAAGAAAAGAAGAGATGAAGCAACGGCAAATCCAACCACTAGGTTGGTCACTCAGCCTATTTCTTTCACTGCCTGCAACCTTGCTCGAACTGTCCCTAAAGAGCAGCCTATAGGTGTCACTGTGGGCATGAAGATGCCCAGGAGCAGTGTTGTCACCCCTAGGTCTCCAGGCCTTACATGGTCTTTGCCACTGCAGCTATCCCTGCAGTTTTCTCCTGGAGGAAACACACATTGTGGGGTGAGCTACATGGCCGGGGTCTCCTCTTTTGCACTACTTTACGGGAGGGGGCAGTCACCTTCAGGGAACTTGTACTGCGAGGTGATGTCTTCCCGCTTGTTCTCTCCCACAGCTTTTGTGCTTATGTTCACGCCAACGCCTTCGGTCTCCGTGCTGATCCTGATGTACTTATCCTTGCCGTTCACCTTCTTGACGAGCCAGTAGACTTTGTCAGCGTTCACTTCCGCATACACAAACTTGCTGTCATAGGGCAGGTACACATCCCCTTCTCGGATACCCTTCAGTGGGCATGGACCACACTGGAAAATACCTGGAAAGAACATTCAACATCATTTGCTTTTCCAGACATAAGCAGAGCCTCCAATTTTTTTTCCACCCTCAGCCTCTCCCCAAGCAGGAACCTGTGGCCATGGTAGTTGACTACTAGTAGTAAATATTCCTCTAACTCAATGAACTCCAGTAGCCCTCATTTATCCCATAGCTGTTTGGGGTTTTTTTATAGATGAGCAGGGTCCAGTTAGAGCTTTTGTGTTTCCCCTCACTTAAATAATTTTAAGATTTGAAATTCATGGCTTGGTGATGGAGACAGCTGAGTCCAGCCACCTGTGTTTGATCTCCTGGCAATACCCTGCTTTCTGCACAGCCTTGAGGATAAATGTTCTCTTTTCTGCCCCTAAATTCCCTGCATCTGTGCAGACACTTCTCTCATTTAACCAATGAGTGGACTCAGAACTTCCTCAGAGAAGCTCCACAGAAAGCATCTTTACTGGGGAAAGCTGTGGCACCTCTCAGGACAGACTGCTTTGAGTCTTCAACTTTGCCAAAGAAATCAGAGGATGGTGGAAAGAGAAATTAACTCTGATTTCCAGCTGTGTGCTCTAACCTCTGAAATGGCATTCATGTCCCCACAGTGTCCTAGTATGTTGGGTTTTTGCCTGCTGAGAAATGCCATTCCTCCCGTCCGAGGCTGAGATGGCAGGAGTGAGACCTCTGGCATTAGGATGTCACTGCCCAAGTGCATAAAGATGTGCTTTGCCCTCTGGGGACCATGATTTTCATACAAAATGTCTCTGGCTCCCTTGGGAGTTGCAGAACGGCCTTTCCAGACAAATCCTACCTTGGCTTTGCTCCTGAGGGGTTGAATCGATTGCTTGCCAGCCATCAAACCCTTCCGGCAGGTCCTTCCGCTTCATCCAGACATCATTCCACACATGGAAGTTCCTGTGTGCATTTGGGTTGGAAAGAAAAGGAGTGAGCTGTTACAGCCAGAGGAGTCACGATTGCCTTTCTTAATCCTTAAGTAAGGGCAGGTTTAATGGGGATTTGCATGTAACCCTGTGAAACCTCAGGCTTTCTCTCTCTCCTCCAAGCAAACCCAAAGCAGTAGGGAAATTCTCAAAGGAAAGGCTCCTGGGTTGGGGAATGCAGGGGATAGGGAGCGTTAGCCCCCTTTGGCAGTACCAGATGGAGTCGAGGGACAGCCGGTCCAGCTTATCTCCGTATTCGTTCATGTAAATGTCAACTCTCAGGTTCTCCTCTGTATCGTGCGCCGAGTTGAAGTTACTGACGCAGCGGGATGGGACCCCCAGGCAGCGCATGACTGTGGCACAGGCAGACAAAACACACAGTCAGATAATCACCCGGGTTGCTGGGTGCCTCTGGGGATCATCTAGTCTGATTCCTCTGTCCACACAAGGCACTCTAGAGCAGGTGCCCAAGGCTGTGCCCAGATGGCTTTTGAATATCCCCAAGGATGGATCCACCACCACCTCTCTGGGCAACCTGTGCCAGTGCTCAGTCACCCTCACAGTGAAAAAAGCTTTTTTCCCACTTTCAGGCAGAACCTCCCTGTGCTTCAGGTTGTGTCCATCACCTCTGGTCCTGTCACTGGGCACCATTGAGAAGAGCTTGGCTTTGTTTGCTCCAGTCCCTCCCATTGGGTGCATATACACATGGATAAGACTCCCTCAGCTGTCTACTTCTCCAGGCTGAGCAGTCCCAGCTCCCTCAGCCTCTCCTTACAGGACAGATCCTGCCACCTCCAGTGCTCAAAGGCACGACAATTTGGCTTACTGGTGCAGCAATCGGGATATCAGAGCAGGGAGACTGTTCACTGTTTACCTGTAGTGAGGACTCCTGCGAAGACCCAGCATTGACCGTAACAGACTGGCTTCTTTGTTTTGTAATACTGCTGCAAAATCGAGACACTCCCGATCCAATCCATAGGGGAGGTCCCGTTGCTGTAATTCCCTGACCAGTTCCCCAGCAGGACACCGCTGTCATCGTTGGCATTGACCTGTGGTCACGCACACATGCAAAGGAGAAAAACATGAGGAGGTGACTGAATGAGGCTTAAACCCCAGGGTCTCTGCCCACCCTGTGTCTCCCCAGATGCTCCACAGCCCTGTGGCACCCAGTGAGGCTGCTGGTGTGGGTTGGGGGCTCCCATGGGTGGAAAACCTTCCCTTGAATATCTAAAGGGAAGTGACACCACTTCCTGGGACAGCCATAAGACACACTGAATCTTGTATCCTAATCCCCAGAAAGGTCCCACCACAGCCGTGCCTGTGCTGGCTCTGCCAATGCAGCTGCCGGGGAAGGAAGGACAACCACCAGGGAAGCTGCAAGCTTTGGAGATGGGGAGATGCTATGTTTTGCTCGCCTCTTCCCTCCACCCAAAATTCTTCTAGCTATTTCCTTGCAGTTTCCCAAAGGAACCCATTTCAGGTGCATCCTGAAATGCTGTTCAAGGCCCTAGGGAAGGCAGAGCAAGTAGAAGGAAGGGGGAAAGCTGGAGGGGCAAAGCACATTGAGAGAGCCATACCAAAGCAGACATGGCTCTGGACACCAACACAGTATCCCTTCTGTTGCTCAGCTTCAGCTGACTTTTGTCCAGCAGATACATGCAGGCATCCAAGATGAATTCCTCAAACTGTTTTGGAAAGAAAGTTGGAGACATTTTCATATGTTGCTTTAAACCAGAATTTGCTCAGTCACTACAAAGTTTATCTAAGTACTTGCAGGAAACTGTCTGACTAGTGGTAACTTCTAAACTTCCTTTATGATATTGATTTTTCAAGCCTATGGGACTTCCGAAAACTGTTCTCTGCAAAGAAGGGCTTAGATAAAACCCCACCTTGGAAGACAAAAGCCTGTTTAACGTGTCTTGCAAACACAGTTGGGACCTGACCCAGCGGTCTTTAATCCTCTGAGTAGTCCTAAGTCACCTGCGTCATCTCCCTGAAACCTTGCAAATTACTCACAAGAGTAATGAAAACTTAAGAGCGCTGCAGGTATTCAGTCTATTGACATTGGTACAAAGTGAACTCTGAGGAAAAAAAAGGTACATAAACGCAGATTATTACACCAAAAGTTTCCTAATTAGCAATTGCTGATAAAGCTCCCTGAGGTCCAATTCACAGAGTTGTTAAACATCCGATCCAACAAAGCTCGGCAGAATATCAATATCAATTCTCATTGCCTAAAGTCAAAATAAATATTAGGATAGGAACAGCCCCATGAACAGTGCCCTTTGGCCCCTTTATGGACAAGGCATCAGCATGAGCACTTTTGCTGGGCTATCTGTACCGTGAAGCTTGAAATCACAGACTTATAAAATAAAACAAAACCAAAACAAACAAAAAAACCCCAGATTCAAATATTTTTTGGTGTGGAGTCTGTCTGGATAGGGTGCAGGATGCTCCATTTGGGAGTCTATATGGTTTACACGGAGCGCAAATAAACCTGCTCTGGCATCTATCTCTTATCTGCAGCCCGAGCAGCTTTGTCGCTGCACTCCACTGGAGTTATCTCAGAGGCAGCGTGGAGGAACACCCTTCCTGAGAGGGCGGGCTGATGGTGTCCTGCACCCTGCAGTTCACCTTGCAGTCAGTAAAGACACCACTTGAGCAATGACAACCTCTGCCAGTGCTTTCCCCTCTTTTTTCCCCAATCTTGATGCAATAGGTAAATAATCACATGGTTTTTGCCCCCCACTGTCAGACCTTTTCATGAATCAGGATCTGGTTACCCGTGGCTGCTGTGTTGCATAAGAGGAGGCAGGACTCCTTATGGGAATCTTTTCAACCAGTAATGCTCCATCCCCAATTTCCACATCCTTTGCCAGGGGTTTTGTGATCTGATTATAAACATGCCATATTTATACCCCCTTTAAATTCTCTCTTAAAGCTGTGGCTGGGGAAAACATGTATGCAGATTGCTCCAAGCAGGTGAGCCCTCCCAGGGAAACTGGCAGGATTATTCAAGTGCTTGGAGCTACTCATGGGTTTTAGCTGTTCTTGGATCTGATTCATTGAAACGGACACCTAAGAGAGAAAGAGTGAATAAGAGTAATAAAGCTGACAAGACAGCTGTGTTTTACCTGCCCAAAATTCCAGGGTCTGCCAGTTATGTTGTATGCAGACCCAACATAGATGTAGCCTGTATCATTGAGCACATACTCCTTTTTCTGCGCCTCATCGGCCAGGAAGACAACATCAGCTAGAACAGAAAAACCCTCAGGTGTTAGGTGGTATGCACACATGCTATACAAAGTTTTCCTTGGAAAGGTAAACTTGGGGGTCTGGTGGTCTGTAACATTCACACCAAATGATGACCATGCAGCACTCACATTTTATTTTCTATCATGGAAGAATTTCCTATAAGACTAAGCTTTATTTTACTTCTGTAGGTCTGTTGCTATATGACTTTAAAGAAATGCTTCTTTCTGAACAAACACTTCAGTGGACTAAGTAGACAGAAAAGAAAATTGGGGGACTGATGCCAACCATCAGCACTTTTTTTTTGGTCTGGTTATTTTTTTAATCTGTATTTTAAGCCAACCCAGACATCTTAGTAAACCTTTGCTCAGGGAAACAGTGGGGAGTGACAGAGAGATGCCAACAGAGGTGACAGAGAGATGCCCCTTAACCTGGCACTGGGACCTCCCCAGCAAGGAGTTGACTTGTTGCTATTGCCCAGCTCCTTGCTGGCTCCATGAGGATGCTGCTTGTGGTGTTTTAGGGAGAAAAAGCAATGTATGTGGGAAAGAGAGGAGGAAAAATGTGAGGAAAAGCTCTCGCAGGGACAATAATGCCTGGCAGCAGTAATTATCATCCCCTGGTTGCTGGGCCACTCTTACCTTCGCACCAAGGATTGAACAAAAGATAGACAGTATCATTTTCGGGCTTATAAATGTTAGTCCCAGTCTTCACGTGCAGGGTGTATTTTCCCACTGGGGCCCTGGGTGAGCTGGTGACAGACAGCAGGCACTGGGGAGGCAACAAGGAGAGACAGCATGATGGACCTTCCACCATGGCCACAGGCATGGCACAAGCACTGAAGGTGGTGGGCACAGGGATTTGTGTGGGGAAAAAGGGATGGAGCACGTCCTGCATGTGCAGTGGGGGAGCTATGAATTAAACAGAGCAAGGCTGCTGCCTGCCTAAAATTATGGTGAAAGCACGATAGGGGTATGAGGATTTGGTCTATTGCTCCCAATGGGCTTGGTGTTGCTGCCCTCCACCATTGTCCCATATAGGAACAGGGCCCATGGGCTCTACCTCTTTGTCGCTGCTCTTGACGATGGAGATTTGCCACCCACTGAAGTCCGGCTCCCGCCTTGGGTTCAGCGACATCAGGGTCCCTCTGATTTTCATTGGGTTTTCACCTAGAAACAATCCCAACATGAGATGTGGGAGAGTTGCACAGGTCTGCAACATCCACACAGCACCAGGCGGCAGGAACAGGGAGCCAAAGGCTGCCAGGCCTCTCCCGCTTTGCTCAGTGGCCATAGAGGGGGAATTTGCTTACCAATGCCGAAACGCACTGCCAACTTGTCGGTAGCCTTCAGCTCCCGGCTGAAGTTGAGCTGCATCAGAAAGGGCTGCCCGCGCCGTACCACCAGGTTCTTGATGTTGTAGGCATCTGTGTGGTGCAGGCGGCAGTTCTGGCTCTTGAGAAAGTCAATCCCAGTGACCTTCAGGTCGCTCCCTGTTGGAGAGAGGGAGAAATTAAAAAGAAAAGGTGGTTGATGGTAAATTGCTTCATAAAGACGGTTTTCTTCTTCTTAATGGAGCCCTGCGGCTCATCAAAACGTCGAAGTGTCCAGCTGTCTAGCACAAGAATCAAACCAAGGATCACCAGAGCTGATGGATGGTACAATGGTTTTTATGTATATATACACACACATGATAATATACTATACTATAATATACTAACTATATTATACTATATTATATATATAAAAACATATAACATAACATAACACAACACAACACAACACAACACAACACAATATAATTACTTAGCATAAGGATATAGAGATAGAGAGAGAGAGTCACGTTGCTGGGATGCATTACGGAGGCTGGCAGCGGTGAAGGACCTGCAGCAATCCACCCGGATTAGGGACAAGCACCTGCCTCACCCTCTGACTATTCGGGCCCAAGTTGCTGCAGTGTGCCTCTGCCTCCCTCCATCGCCTCCCAGGAAGTATGGGGGATGTTTGACCTCTGAGGTGGCTCTGAGTGAGTGGGGAAATGAGCAGCCCAAGGGAAGTAGCAGCAGTAGGAGAGGTAGTGTGAGGATTTCTGTCTCTGCCAGCAGCCACGCATCCAGCTGGCATCCCAGCACCACCTGTCATGTGCCCTTGCGGCTGCTTCCTCAGCAGCCAAAAGCACTGTGAATGGGATCTGGTTTGGAAATCCGTGTCTGCTGGCCCACTGCCTGTCCTGGGATGCTGCCAGCTGGCCTGGAGGGGCCAGCAGCCATAAGCCAGCTCCGCAGGCCAGGAAGATGGCATGACTGCAAATTTTGTTGTGATACTGAAAGTCTTGTTCCTGCGAAAGTCTTGCTTCCCACTCAGCAATGGAGTGGTGGCAGCACATCTGCATCATAGAATGGTTTGGGTTGGAGGGGACCTTAAAGATCATCTAGTCCATGGGCAGGGACACCTCTCACTACACCAGGCTGTCAAAGCCCTGTCCAACCTGGCCTTGAACACTTCCAGGGAGGGGGCATCCAAAACTTTTGTGTATCCCATCCCTACAGCTGCTGGGTGGCAGCTCTTCTCCCCTGAGCACCTTGCATGGGTGCCCACCAGAGGTCCTGACCACTGCAGCAGCCCATGGTCCCACCATGTCTCTGAATCCTCTCCTCCTTGCCCCCATCTTCTCAGCTGTTTTGCTGGTGGCAAAGCCAAGGCTGTGACAGCAACTCCTGTTTGCTGCATGGCTGTGCCTTGCTGAGTGCAGGGTGAATCAGGTCCTTAAGTATTGCAAATGTTTCTTCATTATTGCAGGCATTAAAGCAACAGTAGTAGCAGAAGTAGTAGCAGTAATATGAGCAGGTAAAGAAAGCACTTCTTGCCAAGGCTCATTCAGAGGTGATGCTCCCAAGCGGTCCCCAGCTAGCACAAAGCAGCTTAAAAATTAAGGCCCACTTTTGGGATTTTCTCTCAGCGTATTTACCTCTGGCCAAACATTAGCCTTATATTATCATTGAACACATCCTTCATGGTTATCAAATAATAATGAACAGTGACTTCAATTGTTCCTTGCAAAATGCAGTGCACAGTCAAGCTGGAAATGAACTGAATATGTTGTAATTTGGCTCCTCTCAGCTGCTGAGTTTCCCAGTGTCTCTGAGATGCCATAAGCCTGGGAAATGGGACTCTTTAGGACTCTGAGGCTGATTCTTTATATTTTCCCTTCAAAAATTAGTGTCAATTAGTATCACAACTGTCATTAATCAACCTCTTATGGAAATCTGCATATGTGATTATTTGGTTTTTTTTTCCCAAGGATTTGGTTTCTCCTATAACTCATGTACCAAAGGAAGGGCTGGGGCTGGGAGTGAGCTGCAGAGATGCTACCTGTCTGGGGGGATGCCAAATGTGGGGGGTAGCGCTCTGCCCCACTTCATGCCAACTGGTGCTTTTGCCATTTGACTTCAGGACAGCTTTGGACTCCAGTAGGAGACCCTGCCAGGTGCCTCACTCCTATTCATTCCCAACACAGCACCTGATTTTATAGGACAGGGCACTTAAAAATCATCAGATTCTGGGTTGCTCTCCCCTCCTGTAACTTGAGTCTGGAGTGGGGTTCAGAAAAGGGTGCAAGGCCCCGAGGAGGCACAACCCAGCCCAACGCTTGAGCAAAGAGCGAAGCCCTTGGGCAAAGCTTGAGCAAAGAGAAAGCCCTCAGCTCTCAGTAAAGATGGGGATTTGGGGGTTACTGCATCAAGCAGGCTGCCCAGGTGTGAGAGGGAAAGCCAGAGCATGCCAGAGCGTGGCTGTATATCTCTATACAGCTTTAGAAGCGTCTCCTGTCTTGTACCTGCCCATTCGATATCCTCATCAGATAAATTCCGTGTAAGCAGCAGGGAGTAACAATACCTCAAAAGCACTTGGCTCATGAGTGATTCAGATGAAGACGTGGGAGAGTCAGGAAATTTTAAACTGCTTATGGTAGCTTTGAAATCAGCAAGTCAAAGGCATAATGGTTGGAGGGATTAGTCCACAAAATGTCTTGACAGATTTGCACGGTACCAGGCAACCATGCATGCTTGAGTATCAACAAGAGCCATCCCTGACATCAAAGAGGCTGAAATCTGCCGGTAGCTGCTGTGGCGTGAGAGATGCCATGGGCAAGGCTGGATCCAGGGCAGGCTGAAACCTGTGGCACTGGGACCTGCACTGGGCAGCAACTGCAGCCTTGAGTAAACTGAACTGACCGCCCATGGATCCCCACCAGATTACTACCTCCGTGTAATTCTTCTTAGTAACTATATAAACCATATTTATCTTAATTACATTACAGCCACCATTGGTACAGCAAACAGACTTAAAATTGACCATCACTTTTTGTTAACTGATTTCATTTTTGAGTGCATTTTGTTTGCTTGCTGCTTGCCAGATGCCAATCATGGGGTGATGTTTTGCGCAACGGGGTGTGTGTATATATGTAAAAAAAAATTAATCTGAACTTGCTTAACCATCTTGAGAAGGACAAAGGAGAAGTGCGTCTTCCTCAGCATTAACAAGTCTCCAGCCACCAAAGCTGCTCAACCTTGTTCCTTATGGAAAACTTGCTGATTGCCTGAGAAGCTACCAGAAAACAGTTCTGGTGATGGGAGAGGGCTATGGAGGGATGTGGGAGCTGAATGCATAGGATGGCTGTGGGAAAGGGCCTTGGGGAATCCATCCTTCCAGCATTTCCTAACTTAAGGACTTCATTTCCACCCCTTGTTCCTGGAAATCACCAGTGTTAAGGTTGCAAAGAGAAAAACCACAGAGAACGTATGCCTTGGAGTATGCCCTGATGGTGCAGAGCGCTGTGCCAAAGCCCCGTCCCCGCATAGTGCTGCCGGTCAATTGCCCTGCACTGATTCCTGTGCAAACACACCTGTGATACTCTGTGATCTGGCTGGCACGGTGTCCTGTGCCAAAAATGCCACAGAACGAGCCGGCGGCACACCCATCTCCAGGTCCAAAGAGCTGGGCCACAGCCTGCCCTCCCCGGGTAGCCCCCATGTGCCCGCTTTCGGCTTCCTGCTCTGTCTTCTGCCCTGGCTGTGTTCCTTCTTGGGGCAGGGCAGAAGCAAACCCAAGTCCTGCCAGGTAGCTTTTTTTCCTTTTTTTTCAGCAGG